GTGTGTTTATCTGTGTTTTTATCTGTGTGTTAGTGTGTGTTTATCTGTGTGTTAGTGTGTGTGTTTATCTGTGTGTTAGTGTGTGTGTTTATCTGTGTGTTAGTGTGTGTTTATCTGTGTGTTAGTGTGTGTTTATCTGTGTGTTAGTGTGTGTGTTTATCTGTGTTTTATCTGTGTGTGAGTGTGTTTTTATCTGTGTGTGAGTGTGTTTTTATCTGTGTGTAAGTGTGTGTTTATCTGTGTGTTAGTGTGTGTGTTTATCTGTGTTTTTATCTGTGTGTTAGTGTGTGTGTTTATCTGTGTGTTAGTGTGTGTGTTTATCTGTGTGTTTATCTGTGTGTTAGTGTGTGTGTTTTTATCTGTGTGTTAGTGTGTGTTTATCTGTGTGTTAGTGTGTGTGTTTATCTGTGTGTTAGTGTGTGTGTTTTTATCTGTGTGTTAGTGTGTGTTTATCTGTGTGTTAGTGTGTGTGTTTATCTGTGTGTGTTAGTGTGTGTGTTTATCTGTGTTTTTATCTGTGTGTGAGTGTGTGTTTATCTGTCTGTTAGTGTGTGTGTTAGTGTGTGTGTTTATCTGTGTGTTAGTGTGTGTGTTTATCTGTGTGTTAATGTGTGTGTTTATCTGTGTGTTAGTGTGTGTGTTTATCTGTGTGTTAGTGTGTGTGTGTTTATCTGTGTGTTTATCTGTGTGTTAGTGTGTGTGTTTATCTGTGTGTTAGTGTGTGTGTGTTTATCTGTGTGTTAGTGTGTGTGTGTTTATCTGTGTGTTAGTGTGTGTGTTTTTATCTGTGTGTTAGTGTGTGTTTATCTGTGTGTTAGTGTGTGTGTTTATCTGTGTGTGTTAGTGTGTGTGTTTATCTGTGTTTTTATCTGTGTGTGAGTGTGTGTTAATCTGTGTGTTAGTGTGTGTGTTTATCTGTGTGTTAGTGTGTGTGTTTATCTGTGTGTTTGTGTGTGTTTATCTGTGTGTTAGTGTGTGTGTTTATCTGTGTGTTTATCTGTGTGTTTATGTGTGTGTTTATCTGTGTGTTAGTGTGTGTGTGTTTATCTGTGTGTTAGTGTGTGTGTTTATCTGTGTGTTAGTGTGTGTGTTTATCTGTGCGTTAGTGTGTGTGTGTTTGTGTGTGTGTTAGTGGGTGTGTTTATCTGTGTGTTAGTGTGTGTTTTTATCTGTGTGTTAGTGTGTGTGTTAGTGGGTGTGTTAGTGTGTGTGTTAGTGGGTGTGTTAGTGGGTGTGTTTATCTGTGTGTTTTTGTTTATCTGTGTGTTAGTGTGTGTGTGTTTATCTGTGTGTTAGTGTGTGTGTTTATCTGTGTTAATGTGTGTGTGTTTATCTGTGTGTTTATCTGTGTGTTAGTGTGTGTTTATCTGTGTGTTAGTGTGTGTTTATCTGTGTGTTAGTGTGTGTGTTTATCTGTGTGTTTTTGTTTATCTGTGTGTTAGTGTGTGTGTGTTTATCTGTGTGTTAGTGTGTGTGTGTTTATCTGTGTTAATGTGTGTGTGTTTATCTGTGTGTTTATCTGTGTGTTAGTGTGTGTATTTATCTGTGTGTGTTAGTGTGTGTGTTTATCTGTGTTTTTATCTGTGTGTGAGTGTGTGTTATCTGTGTGTTAGTGTGTGTGTTTATCTGTGTGTTAGTGTGTGTTTATCTGTGTGTTAGTGTGTGTGTTTATCTGTGTGTTAGTGTGTGTGTTTATCTGTGTGTTAGTGTGTGTTTATCTGTGTGTTAGTGTGTGTGTTTATCTGTGTGTTAGTGTGTGTGTTTATCTGTGTGTTAGTGTGTGTGTTATCTGTGTGTTAGTGTGTGTGTTTATCTGTGTGTTAGTGTGTGTGTTTATCTGTGTGTTAGTGTGTGTTTATCTGTGTGTTAGTGTGTGTGGACCATATGGACAAACATGTTGCCAGCAGTAAAGCCTAAAGCTAACACACACACACTCTCCTCATTTAAGCCACAGAGAGAGTTTATTTACTCATAGACTCAGTGTTTATTTACTCATAGACTCAGTGTTTATTTACTCATAGACTCAGTGTTTATTTACTCATAGACTCAGTGTTTATTTACTTATAGACTCAGTGTTTATTTACTTACAGTCTCAGTGTTTATTTACTTATAAACTCAGTGTTTATTTACTCATAGACTCAGTGTTTATTACAGTCTCAGTGTTTATTTACTTATAGACTCAGTGTTTATTTACTTATAGACTCAGTGTTTATTTACTTATAAACTCAGTGTTTATTTACTCATAGACTCAGTGTTTATTTACTCATAAACTCAGTGTTTATTTACTCATAGACTCAGTGTTTATTTACTTACAGTCTCAGTGTTTATTTACTTATAGACTCAGTGTTTATTTACTCATAGACTCAGTGTTTATTTACTTATAAACTCAGTGTTTATTTACTCATAGACTCAGTGTTTATTTACTCATAGACTCAGTGTTTATTTACTCATAGACTCAGTGTTTATTTACTTACAGTCTCAGTGTTTATTTACTCATAGACTCAGTGTTTATTTACTCATAAACTCAGTGTTTATTTACTTATAGACTCAGTGTTTATTTACTTATAGACTCAGTGTTTATTTACTTATAAACTCAGTGTTTATTTACTCATAGACTCAGTGTTTATTTACTTATAAACTCAGTGTTTATTTACTCATAGACTCAGTGTTTATTTACTCATAGACTCAGTGTTTATTTACTTATAAACTCAGTGTTTATTTACTTATAAACTCAGTGTTTATTTACTCATAGACTCAGTGTTTATTTACTTATAAACTTAGTGTTTATTTACTCATAGACTCAGTGTTTATTTACTTATAAACTCAGTGTTTATTTACTCATAGACTCAGTGTTTATTTACTTATAAACTCAGTGTTTATTTACTCATAGACTCAGTGTTTATTTACTTATAGACTCAGTGTTTATTTACTTACAGTCTCAGTGTTTATTTACTTATAGACTCAGTGTTTATTTACTCATAGACTCAGTGTTTATTTACTTATAGACTCAGTGTTTATTTACTTACAGTCTCAGTGTTTATTTACTTATAGACTCAGTATTTATTTACTCATAGACACAGTGTTTATTTACTTATAAACTCGGTATTTATTTACTTATAAACTCGGTATTTATTTACTCATAGACTCAGTGTTTATTTACTTATAGACTCAGTGTTTATTTACTTACAGTCTCAGTGTTTATTTACTTATAGACTCAGTGTTTATTTACTCATAGACTCAGTGTTTATTTACTTACAGTCTCAGTGTTTATTTACTTATAAACTCAGTGTTTATTTACTCATAGACTCAGTGTTTATTTACTTATAAACTCAGTGTTTATTTACTCATAGACTCAGTGTTATTTACTTATAGACTCAGTGTTTATTTACTTATAAACTCAGTGTTTATTTACTCATAGACTCAGTGTTTATTTACTTACAGTCTCAGTGTTTATTTACTTATAAACTCAGTGTTTATTTACTCATAGACTCAGTGTTTATTTACTCATAGTCTCAGTGTTTATTTACTCATAGACTCAGTGTTTATTTACTTATAGACTCAGTGTTTATTTACTTACAGTCTCAGTGTTTATTTACTTATAAACTCTGTATTTATTTACTCATAGACTCAGTGTTTATTTACTTATAAACTCGGTATTTATTTACTTATAAACTCGGTATTTATTTACTCATAGACTCAGTGTTTATTTACTTTTAGACTCAGTGTTTATTTACTTACAGTCTCAGTGTTTATTTACTTATAGACTCAGTGTTTATTCACTCATAGACTCAGTGTTTATTTACACATAGACTCAGTATTAGCAGATTTAAATATTTTAGATCAGTTTAATAAAAACTGAACTGATCCTAAAACAGCCAAACTGCTCATTGGAAAGTTAAATTAAAGGAAACTCAGTTGTTAAATATATGTTATGTGCTGTGCAGGTGAACAATCCCACGGAGTCAGATTTCCTGTCAGACACATGACTAAATTGTCAGATGATATTCAGTGGAAATAACTGAGACTAAATGAGCCTTTAAACTCAATGAGGATGTCCGTGAGTGATCAGATGCTGTTATTAAAAAACAAAATGAGCAGTTAGATGGAGGTCAGTCTGACAAATGGTCCACTTTATTTTAATACCAACTATCTATTAGAGCTGATGAGGCGGTTGTTTGTATGGAACGTTTGCTGATTCCAGATTCTTCTGTCGGACTTTCTTTTTTTACCACAGAATCAGTTTTTAGACAAAGAGAAAATAATCACTGTTGCGGATAACTGTTATGGAGCCTGACAACAACATGAAGTAAATGTCCACATTTAATAATCACATACAGCATCATATACTTTATTATATTAGTATGTATCTGTATTTACTGTACTTATTATCCACACCTGTATACATAGTGTATAAATATAAACATATACATATATGCCTATATGGCTGCAGGAGTCTAGACAGTCTAGTGATTATACTGTATTATAATATGGTGTAAATAAAGCTTTTTATGTCATCTGTCTAACTCATTTTACTTTGTGTTCTCTCAGTTTGTCTCTGTGCTGCTGTAACAGGTGAATTTACCCTCAGAGATCAATAAAGTCTGGTTTTATCTGATGGAGGAAAAAGGATCAGGATCATCTTGTACTGATCATCACATCAGTTTTCTACTTATTGACTCATCATAGCAGAAATTATCCACTGCGGTAATTTCTTCTGTGTTTTATTAAGGATCAATAAAATGCACACATAGATACACACAAGTATTTATATTTACATATAAACACGTGTGGTGTGTGTGTGTGTGAAGGCCAATAATTCATCAGATTTGAGTATTTAGAAAAGTGCCATATACATTCATTTCTTCTTATTATTATTATTCATGTTGGGAAATTAAAGGAGCGAAATGATTTCAGATCTGATTTTGTTTTTGAGCTGTGTTAAATGTTTAAATGTCTCAGCAGGTGAAACTTCCGGCCGTGTGAAACTTTTCCCCGCTCACCTGGCGTTGGTGCAGTCCCGGTACAGCGTCTCGAAGTCGGCCCTGGTGATGAGCTTGCAGCGGTTGACTCCGGGCTGGATGGCTCCGAGCCCCCGCAGGACGCGCACCTGCTCCACGGTGCAGACCACCGGGCTGATGTCCAGCCGCTTCAGCTTGGTGTACACGGTGTGCAGTCCGCCCACCAGGTGCTTCAGGAACAGCTCGAACACCTGCGGAAGGCAGATCAGCTCCACGCCGTTCACCGTGAACGACGCCACCTTCACGCCGTGAACTTCCACCATCATACACTCGGTGTGCGGAGCCGCAGCCCCGCAGCCGCCGCCGCTCGTCCCGTTCACGCTCACCGGGACTCTGCCGCTCAGGAAGGCTCCGGCCGGGCGAGCGGCGGGGAGGCGCGGGGAGCTGGCCGGGTTGGGAGCGCTGTAGAGCGGGTCGGAGTGGAAGAGAGGGTCGGTGGGAGGGGTGGAGGTCCGGGACAGAGGGGTGTTGGAAGATCCCGCCATGTTCGAGCAGAAAAGAGAGAAAAAGAAGAAGAAAAAGAAGATTAGTTTATTTTTGTTTTTATTGTCTTTTCATCTGTGATTTTCCTGCGTCTGTCCCTCTCTGTTCCCTCCGCGGGACTGAAGACTCCGGCTCTCTCTCTCTCTTTACCTCTCTTTACCTCTCTTTACTCTCTTTACCACCACCACCTCTCTCTCTCTCTCTCTCTCTCTTTACCTCTACCTCTCTCTCTCTCTCTCTTTACCACCACCTCTCTCTTCTGTCTCTTACCTCTCTTTACCTCTCTTTACCTCTCTTTACCACCACCACCTCTCTCTCTCTCTCTCTCTTTACCTCTCTTTACCTCTCTTTACCACCACCACCTCTCTCTCTCTCCTTCTCTCTCTTTACCTCTCTTTACCTCTCTTTACCACCACACCTCTCTCTCTCTCTCTCTCTTTACCTCTCTTTACCTCTCTTTACCACCACCACCTCTCTCTCTCTCCTTCTCTCTCTTTACCTCTCTTTACCTCTCTTTACCACCACCACCTCTCTCTCTCTCTCTTTACCTCTACCTTTCTCTCTCTCTCTCTTTACCTCTCTTTACCACCACCACCTCTCTCTCTCTCTCTTTACCTCTCTTTACCACCACCACCTCTCTCTCTCTCTCTCTTTACCTCTACCTCTCTCTCTCTCTCTCTCTCTCTCTCTGTCTTTACATCCACCTCTCTCTCCTCTGTGAAGGTCTCTCTCTCTGTCTTTACCTCTACCTCTCTCTCTCTCTCTCTCTCTTTACCTCTACCTCTCTCTCTCTGTGAAGGCTCTCTCTCTGTCTTTACCTCTACCTCTCTCTCTCTCTCTCTCTCTCTTTACATCCACCTCTCTCTCTCTGTGAAGGTCTCTCTCTCTGTCTTTACCTCTACCTCTCTCTCTCTCTCTCTGTCTTTACCTCTACCTCTCTCTCTCTCTCTCTCTCTCTTACATCCACCTCTCTCTCTCTGTGAAGGTCTCTCTCTCTGTCTTTACCTCTACCTCTCTCTCTCTCTCTCTGTCTTTACCTCTACCTCTCCTCTCTCTCTCTCTCTCTCTCTTTACATCCACCTCTCTCCTCTGTGAAGGTCCTCTCTCTCTTCGTCTTTACCCTACCTCTCTCTCTCTCTCTCTCTCTCTTCCTCTACACCTCTACCGCTCTCTCTCTCTCTCTGTCTTTACATCCACCTCTCTCTCTCTGTGAAGGTCTCTCTCTCTCTCTTTACCTCTACCGCTCTCTCTCTCTCTCTCTCTTCTTTACATCCACCTCCTCTCTCTGTGAAGGTCTCTCTCTCTCTCTTTACCACCACCTCTCACTCTCTTTACCTCCACCTCTCTCTTTACTCTCTCTCTCTCTCTTTACATCCACCACTCTCTCTCTTGAATCTCTCTCTCTCTCTCTCTTACCTCCAACTCTCTCTCTCTCTGAAGGTCTCTCTCTCTCCCCACCTCTCTCTCTCTGTGTGAAGGTCTCTCATTCACCTTCTCTACCTCTTTCATTCATCCTGTCAGTAGTCCCGTGTGACGTTGTCCTGTAAGTAGTGTTTTCACGTTGTTCGGGATGTGACGTCGTCCTGTAGCGTTTTCACAGCGTTTTCACGTTGTTCGTGATGTGACGTCATGCCGTCAGTAGTGTTTTCACGTTGTTTGGGATGTGACGTCGTCCTGTCAGTAGCGTTTTCACATCAGTAGCGTTTTCACGTTGTTCGGGTTGTGACATCTTCCTGTCAGTAGTGTTTTCACGTCTGTAGCGTTTTCACGTTGTTCGGGATGTGACGTCGTCCTGTCAGTATGTTTTCACATTGTTCGGGATGTGACGTCATCCCGTCAGTAGTGTTTCACGTTGTTTGGGATGTGACGTCATCCTGTCAGTAGTGTTTTCACATCAGTAGCGTTTTCACGTTGTTCGGGTTGTGACATCTTCCTGTCAGTAGTGTTTTCACGTCTGTAGCGTTTTCACGTTGTTCGGATGTGACGTCATCCCGTCAGTAGTTTTTCACGTTGTTTGGGATGTGACGTCGTCCCGTCAGTAGCGTTTTCACGTCTGTAGCGTTTTCACGTTGTTCGTGATGTGACGTCATCCCGTCAGTAGTGTTTTCACGTTGTTTGGGATGTGACGTCGTCCCGTCAGTACGTTTTCACGTCTGTAGCGTTTTCACGTTGTTTGTGATGACGTCATCCCGTCAGTAGTGTTTTCACGTTGTTTGGGATGTGACGTCGTCCTGTCAGTAGCGTTTTCACGTCAGTAGTGTTTTCACGTTGTTCGGGATGTGACGTCGTCCTGTCAGTAGTGTTTTCACGTCTGTAGCGTTTTCACGTTGTTCGGGATGTGACGTCGTCCTGTCAGTAGTGTTTTCATGTCAGTAGTGTTTTCACATTGTTCCAGATGTGATGTCCCGTCAGTAGCGTTTTCACAATGTTCCGGATGTGATGTCGTCCCGTCAGTAGTGTTTTCACATCAGTAGCGTTTCACGTTGTTCGGGTTGTGACATCTTCCTGTCAGTAGTGTTTTCACGTCTGTAGCGTTTCACGTTGTTCGGGATGTGACGTCGTCCTGTCAGTAGCGTTTTCACGTTGTTTGGGATGTGACGTCATCCTGTCAGTAGTGTTTTCACGTCTGTAGCGTTTTCACGTTGTTCGGGATGTGACGTCGTCCTGTCAGTAGCGTTTTCACGTTGTTCGGGATGTGACGTCTTCCTGTCAGTAGTGTTTTCACGTCTGTAGCGTTTTCACGTTGTTCGTGATGTGACGTCGTCCTGTCAGTAGTGTTTTCACGTTGTTCGGGATGTGACGTCATCCCGTCAGTAGTGTTTTCACGTTGTTTGGGATGTGACGTCGTCCTGTCAGTAGTGCTTTCACATCAGTAGCGTTTTCACGTTGTTCGGGTTGTGACATCTTCCTGTCAGTAGTGTTTTCACGTCTGTAGCGTTTTCACGTTGTTCGGGATGTGACGTCGTCCTGTCAGTAGTGTTTTCACGTCAGTAGCGTTTTCACAATGTTCCGGATGTGATGTCGTCCCGTCAGTAGTGTTTTTACATTGTTCCAGATGTGGATGTCATGTCAGTAGCGTTTTCACGTTGTTCCAGATGTGATGTCATGTCAGTAGTGTTTTCACATTGTTCCAGATGTGATGTCCCGTCAGTAGCGTTTTCACGTCAGTAGTGTTTTCACGTTGTTCCAGATGTGATGTCCCGTCAGTAGCGTTTTCACAATGTTCCGGATGTGATGTCGTCCCGTCAGTAGTGTTTTCACGTCAGTAGTGTTTTCACGTTGTTCCAGATGTGATGTCCCGTCAGTAGTGTTTTCACGTTGTTCCAGATGTGATGTCATGTCAGTAGCGTTTTCACGTTGTTCCAGATGTGATGTGATGTCAGTGTTTTCACGTTGTTCCAGAATTGATTTCATGTCAGTAGCATTTTCACGTTGTTCCAGATGTGATGTCATGTCAGTAGCGTTTTCACAATGTTCCGGATGTGACGTCGTCCCGTCAGTAGTGTTTTCACGTCAGTAGTGTTTTCACGTTGTTTGGGATGTGATGTCGTCCTGTCAGTAGCGTTTTCACGTTGTTCGGGATGTGACATCGTCCCGTCAGTAGTGTTTTCACGTCTGTAGCGTTTTCACGTCTGTAGCGTTTTCACAATGTTCCGGATGTGACGTCGTCCCGTCAGTAGTGTTTTCACGTCTGTAGCGTTTTCACGTCTGTAGCGTTTTCACGTTGTTCGGGATGTGACATCGTCCCGTCAGTAGTGTTTTCACGTCTGTAGCGTTTTCACGTCTGTAGCGTTTTCACGTTGTTCGGGATGTGACATCGTCCCGTCAGTAGTATTTTCACGTCAGTAGCGTTTTCACGTTGTTTGGGATGTGACGTCGTCCCGTCAGTAGCGTTTTCACGCTGTTCGGGATGTGACATCGTCACGTCAGTAGTATTTTCACGTCAGTAGCGTTTTCACGTTGTTTGGGATGTGACGTCGTCCCGTCAGTAGCATTTTCACGTTGTTTGGGATGTGACGTTGTCACGTCTGTAGTGTTTTCATGTCAGTAGCGTTTTCACAATGTTCCAGATGTGACGTCGTCCCGTCAGTAGTGTTTTCATGTCAGTAGCATTTTCACAATGTTCCGGATGTGACGTTGTCCCGTCAGTAGTGTTTTCACGCTGTTCGGGATGTGACGTTGTCACGTCAGTAGTGTTTTCACGTCTGTAGCGTTTTCACGATGTTCCGGATGTGATGTCATCTGATTCTTCCTTTTGTAATTAATGTACAGTAATAAGTGACAGTGAAATTAAAAACATCATTTTTGTTTGGTATTGAAGCTGATCGGGGGATTATTTATTTTATTACTGTATTGAATGGTTTATAGGTAATGTCGACTTTATCTGCTTTATCACTGTGAAGTTTAAACAAATCAAAGTGCAAAACAGAAATAAAAGTGTATTTAGGCTCCTAAGCTTTATGACATTTTGTTCCTTCAGGATAATCCAGATGTCTTGGATCCCAGTCCTACTGAAAAGTTCTGAACAACTCAAACTGGATCAGGTGATCTGATCTGATTTCAGAATCCTTTTTTTCTTCTTCTGGTTCCATTCAGAAACATCTGATGAACTGTTTTCCAGTGGAGATAATAAATTCATATTTTTTAATCACGGCAAAGAGAAGAGAGAAGCTCCACCTCGTACATCAGCGGAGTTTCAAATTAAAAGCATCAAATTAACCTTTACAGAGCCGAGCAGATTAAATGTCAGCAGAAAGTACATCACACCTGTATGATCTCCCCGAATATTTTCATCTGCCTCTCTGTAGATGTTTAATCTGCCCAAAGTTTAACATCCTCCTGCCTGAAGGCTTGGGCTCCTCTATGGGCGGACGTTTGTGTGAGGAGCATCTGAATGTGAATCATTTAAATCTGAATTTAAATAACTCAACCTGAATAATTGTATTGAAAAGCTGAATCTGAATAGCATAATTTGAATCTGAATTTATTAGTTTGAAACTGAATTTAAGCCTCATTAAAAATTCAACTCTTTGTATATTTTCTCTTTCAGTTCTCTCAATTCAAATAACATAATTAATGTAAGTCAAGTGACATAATTAAGTATTGTTAGTAACATAATTAGTGTGACGTAAGTAAGGTAAGTTATGTAATGTAGCCTAAGTCACATGACATAAGTAACGT